ATTTTCTTCCTTCCTTATGCATTCTTGGGCACCCCACGCTTTGAGCCCTGCTCTACTGTGTTTTCTTCGTGACAAATACATCACACATACACGCTCACTTAGGAGGGAAGCAAACATAAGATGAAGTCTGCTGATCCAACCATCCAGGGCCACTAGCATATGACCTCTCTTGATTAATATATTTTGACAAATTATTAATTATACTAATCATATAATGAGACAAAATATATATGGGATGTTCAGTATGGGACCATACATAAAGTACTTGCTATCATAATGCTAGCATTAATATTAATGAAAAGAGATTTTCTTTTGGAAAGTGAAAAGCATAACAGTGAAAGATGCATTGTTCTATATCATAAGCTCATTCTAATGAGTTCAAAATGTGACATAAACTCCACCCTGAGATCTCATTGTGGTAATTCCTGGACATGTGGTAGCTCTCATCTATCAGAGTTTGGTAAATGTTTAACCTCTCAGCCAGCTTTCCATGCCAAGTGCACTTTTAGACAGAACTTCAGAGAATCAAAGTCAATTTTAATGCTGAGCCAGAATTTCCCAATAACGTAAACAGTATAGTTTGGTCTCCAAAACTTCTTACTAATAAATGTGGCATGATTTGACACATACTATATAATATGTATATATGTATTACATATATGGTATATAATATGTATGCATATATTACACAAATAATCTACTCACAAGTAGGAGGACCTGAGTTCAGATCCCAGCACTCATGTAAAAAGCCCGGTGGTGGTATACATCTGTAATGGCAGTGCAGAGGTGAGGGAGGGGGGCAGATAACCGGAGCTCACTGGCCAGCCAGCCTAGCCAATTAGTGAATCCCAGGTTTAGTGAGACTGTCTCAAAAAATGAGGTGGAAAGTGATTGAGAAAGGCATCTGATAGTTGACCTCTGGTCTCAAATAGATATGTGTGTATGCACCTGAATACACATAACACACACACACACACACACACACACACACACACACACACACACACACACACCAAGAGAAAGAGATGGATGGATAGACAGACAGACAGATGATAGACAGGAAGGCAGACAGATAGGTAGATAGAACCAAGAAGTGTCTATCCACAAGATAATGGCTTCGTGAAAATAATGATGGACTCTCTTCCTTTCTTGAAGAGAGACGACGGATAAAGTCCTTGTTACCTAAAGTATCCTGTGGAGTCAAAAGAAACACACACTCTCGAAGGAAAAGAGTGGTTGGAGGGAAGCCAGCTGACGTGGTAAGCCTGCATGAAATCCCAGTCCTCCAAGGATCAGCCTGAGCCAGACAAAAGTGAGGGAAGGGTGTGCTGACAGGGATCAAGACCCTGCGTGGAAATGTCCGAGGGTTGCCTGTCTGCGACACCATCCAATAGAAGGGCAGTAACCATACAATGTCTCTTACAGGGAGACTACCCCTGGCAGGTGGCAATTAAGGATGGCGAAAGGATCACCTGTGGGGGAATTTATATTGGTGGCTGTTGGGTTCTGACTGCTGCACATTGTGTCAGGTAAAAATGTCTTCCGATGTCTTGATACATGAGAAATAAGTAATAGAGATGGTGATAGATGATAAGTACAAGCTTATGTGAGAAATTGAGTTCTACTCTGTCATCAGAAGGCATTTTTCTGGTGTTCATGACCAGGACTGTAGGGACCAGTCTCTCAGAACCTGTGTTCTGATGAGGGTGGAGCTTAGATGCTGTAGGATCGTATTTGGGCTCATTTGCATTGTGCTAGGACAAAACTGTCCAGAAGAGTTTGAGCATTTATGAAGGGGTGACACTAACATGGCATCCCCTCTGGTTTTTCCACAAGGATATTAAAGAGCTAATTTTACTCCACAATCACAGATGCTTTTTTTCAAATCCACATACCCTTAAATGAATTTAATGTGTATTCTAGGCAATAAAGGACATGTCCAAAGGTAAATGCTATTTATCTGATATACTGTCCCATCATTGGCTGGCCCACTCTTTGAGTCTGGATCAATTATTTACACATAGCCATGACTCGAAGCTGCTTTGAAGACAAGGCATTGTGCCAGATAGGGGTACCACTCGTGTTGCTATTGGGGAGACCCTGAAGTGCAGCAGGCAATCGCTGAAGAGCCAGTTGACAGAGGAGTCAGAGGGAGATCCGTCATACTGTGGACCCCTTTGACAGGGTTTTGAGATTCTCAGGACAGAGAAGGAGGATAGGCAGAATGTGAACTCAGCTCTGGCCTGTGACAAATGAGAAACACAAGTCTGACCTGGCTTCTCCGAGGAGCATGACAAGTGGCTGTATTAGTTTGCTGACAGACACCACAGAGTGATTTCCTCACCATTCTGGAGGCTGGCCGTCCAAGACCAGTGTGCAGCGCTGGTTGTTCCTGGAGTCGCTCCTGGCTTGCATGCGCTCCCTTCTCACTGTGCTCTTCAGCACCTTTCCTCTGTGCACATGTAGCTCTGAGATTTCTTTTTCCCCATGGAGGCCCCTGTCTTACTGGATTAAAACCCAACCCTTACGACCTCATTAGACCTTAATGACCTGATTAAAAGCACCGTCTCCAAAGACAGTCACAACGGGGCTCAGGACCTCCATAATGCAGCAGACAAAATTCATCCCATGATACTGATTGCTTGACAAATCGAGGTCACCTTGCAAAAGGGCAGAGCTCAGGACTCTCTGCTCAGTTTGGACTTTAGAGTGAATACAGTGTCGTTTGGTGAGCACAGCTTACAGACTGGGTCCCAGGTCAGGCACTTTTATGGGTTACATTTTGTTCAGTATTCTCAGCCGGTCGTAAAGGGAAACTAAGATTCTTCCAGTTTGGCAGATAAGCATACCGCACAGAGAAGCTAAATAGTGTCTTAGCTGAAGACTAACCAGTCAGTAGAGCCAGGACATCATCTGGCATTTGATTGCAATGAAGACGCATGTCTCCTTAGAGAATTTTCAGGGGGCCTAACTTCCCGAGAGGCAGCATTTACACTGAATGATGAAGTGTGTGTTGATTGACACCTTGGAAAACCCTTGTGGGTTGGAACCGAAAGCCCTTCTTCTATCTTCCTTCTTAAAGAGGCTTCTCTCTTAGTTTCTGTGGCCCGGCATGCCCCTGGCTTCTCCCTGCCCCTCCCGCTGCACCCCTCACCTGTCTTACTAGATTTCTTCCGGGCCTGCATCACAGCGCCACTGAACAGTTGAAGTTCAATGTTCAGCCTGGCTTCCTCTTCTCCTCTTACTCATTCTTCCTAAAATTACCTGTGGTCCAAAATCCCATTCTAAGGTCACTCAATGGTAGCCACAGCACAGCCCTTCCTCCGGCCACTGACATGTAGTCCACAGCCATCCATAGTCCCTGGCTACATCAAAATTACATTGAGAGCTGGAGAGAGGGCTCGTTCAGTTAACTGCTTGCTCTACAAGCATGAAGTCCTGAGTATGAGCTGCAGAACCCACATTACAGACTTTCTACGCTCGGTGTAGTGGGATGTGCTTGTACTCCCAGCACTGGGGAGGGAGCTCTTTGGGGTCTTGCTGGCCAGCCAGCCTGGCCTACTTGCCGAGTTCCAGACCAATGAGAGATCTCGCTACAAAAACAAGGTTGGCAGTGCTTAAGGAACAATACCCAAGACTGATCTCTGGTCTGCACACGCGCACACACACACACACACACACACACACACACACACACACACACACACACACACACGTGCACCTGTAAACACATTTGCCCCTCCCATGCACATGAACACGCATGAACATGAGCACACGCACACACACACACACACACACACACACACAGAGCACTGAATTCCACATGTTCAAGGCCTAGCTTATATGCCACTTCTCTTAAATATTTTCCTGTTCAGTGCTTCCTGTCTAAAGAAACACCGTTTACGTGGTTAACCCAGCTAGAAATCTAAGAATCATCATATTTCGCTCTCAACCTTCAGGCACAGGCATTTTTGGGGGGGGGGGTGCGGGTTGAGACAGGGTTTTTCTGTGTAGCTTTGGAGCCTTTCCTGGAACTCACTCTGTAGACCAGGTTGGCCTCGAACTCACAGAGACCCACCTGCCTCTGCCTCCCGAGGGCTGGGATTAAAGACGAGTGCCATCATCATGCGGCAGGCACAGGCATTCTTAATGCTAATTTTTCACCATTCACTTCTCAGACCTCACCTCCTTCACTATCACCCTGCGGCTGCTTGTCATCTGGATTACATGACTTGCCTCCAGTTGCCTTACCTACATACACCGCCTACCCACTGTCTGTCCTCCACTGCGCAGCCATGTCCATTCAGGGGCTCTTCAGTCCTCTTCTGATGAGCATCTAAACAAAATGTCAACACATGTAAATCATCTAAGGCCTTCTATGATTTGGCCTTCTCTCCCCAGTCTCATCCCACTGCACACACAGCACCACTTCCTGTTCATTGATCCACCCTCTCTGGGCCTCTTCAGATGCTCAGAAGCAATGGCTCCCTTCTGTGAAGGGACTTTCATATAATCTTTCCCCTCCTGGAATGATCTCTTGACTCTCTTACCTAGTTAATATTGCTCTTTAATCAGATCTCAAGTCAGCCCTTTATCTCCTTATGGAATCTCCCCTGAGGCCTCTCAACCAAAGCCTTCCTGGTAAATTATTAAAAGCCTTTCTCCTGTCCACTCCTCTCACTTCTTACAGAATATATCTCATCATCGTTGTGATCACCCATTTGGTGATGCATGTTTTATAGATGCCTTCTGGTTTTGCTGACTTCTGCACCCCAGTGTCCAGTACAACAGTATGCAGTTGGTAAACACTATATATACGCCCAGTAAGCCATATAAACAGAGCTAACCTTCAAGGAACATTTATGATCCCCGAGCCTATGGTACAACCCAAAGTAACATGGATGCCAGCATTCTCAGAACACCTAAGTATAAATAAAAACATCTAAACATCACATTATCTCCTCAGACATTGCTGTTGAACTGTACTATGACTGTCGTTATTCGAGGAAGCCAAGTTCTGTTCAGTTTATGCTATTTGACGAGAAAACAGAAGATCACAGATAATTTTTACAAGATATACAGATGATATAATTTAAGAAGATGTTGTAAATGTTCAACTTTTTTTGCTTATGGACAATCCATTTTGTGATACACTTCATTATTTGGAAAGGTTAGATAGTAAGATCATAGGAACAGTTGGGAAATCATCACTTTCTCCATTTACCACTCAGCTAATCCTGTCCTAACTAAATTTAATTTTACAGCTTCATATCAGTGAGGATAAAAGCATTCAGAAATTGAAAATTATCCTTTAAAGGGAAGAAAATTAAGATGAAGTGTCAAAATCCGTATCTTTTTCTTGCTATACTTTATTTCCCTTTGCTTTCTCTTACAGACCCAGTAGAGCTCCCCATTACCAAATATGGACGGCGTTACTAGACTGGCTAACTCCTAACGCTGAGTTGAGAGTCCGAAGAGTGAGCAGAGTTATTGTTCATGAGAACTATAACGGAGCCACCTACCAAAATGACATAGCTTTGATTGAAATGAAAAAGTTGCAAGGCAAGAGAGAATGTGAGCTCCTTAATTCTGTCCCTGCCTGTGTCCCGTGGTCTCCGTATCTATTCCAACCGAATGAGAAATGCATCATCTCTGGATGGGGTCGAGAGAAAGGTATATGCTTTACCTCGCGGGGTGGGAATTGAATGGGAAATGGGTGGAAATGACTCTTGGACTCAGAGAAATATCATGTACAGAAAAGTGAGTGCCCATCCAGGAAGAGCTGCCTGCCTGGGCTCAGAACTTGAGTACCAGGGCTGCTCAGAACCCCAGTGTCTGAAGGACCACATGAAACTGGAGTTGTTGCTTAATTCTAGAGTACTTGTCTAACATGTGCAAGCTCCTGGGTTTGAAATCCCCAGGACTGAAAACAAGAAACCAAATGTGCTCTTGTGATAGTGAACATCTATAATCCCAGAAGCAGAAGTGGGAGGATCAGGAGTTCAAGACCATCCTTGAGGCCAGTAAGATTTGCTTCATTTTTGACCTAGAGAGGTGTTAAGCAGTTTTATTTCAAATGGACCTCCTGTGAGATGAAGTGCAGAAAGGGGATCACAGTTCCATATACTGCGTTGCTCAGCACAGTGCTGAGATGCAGGCAGGAGAGTAATTTGGCATCAAACATTTGTAAGGCATTTGCAATTAAATCACTGTGACTCTAGGCAGTCACTAATTGCATTAAGAATTTATTAAACGACTACATTGTGTAAGAAGATTCTGGATGTTTGTGAGGAAAGCGGCAGGCCTAGTTCCCGAGCTCCTGGAACTCTGCACAGTGAGTAAGAAGACACGGAACGAAGGCTGCATCATAAAATCCTGTGATCTGGAAAACGGAAGAGGGGAGAAGGGACAAGGTCTTGCTCCCCACTCCGTCCGTCTCCCCTGCGTGCTCACGCTTCTCTCTTTTCCCATGGTCCATCGGTCAGTAGCACATGGCCCTTCTCTTCCCACAGACCAAAGATGTTCAAGTCCGCAAACTCACTTAAATGTAAGGACATTCTGTCTCCTTGTGCATCATTTCAGATCACTTAAATAGGCACTTCCTCAAGCACAAAAACACCAACACATTGAAAACTTCAACTTCTAACTTCTTCAAGGCCGCTTCCTCTCTAATAGTAATTTGAAGGAAATTACTAGCTGTAAGAAAAGATATCCAAGATGTGCACATGAGATAGTCCCGTCTCTGCCTTCTGCGCCATCCCCTACTGAACCCAGTAACAGGATACGGTTGCCCCTCAGTCATAAGGGTCAGGGCTTTACTAAATGACTGTGTTTCAGGCCACGTGTTCGATAACCTTCCTTCACTGTTCATTTCAATTTAGAAATGTAATTCTAGAAACTAGGGCCACGAAGAGAAAATGTGAATATGGTGTAAATATGCTAAGGAAGTGCCCTCGATAATTCATATACATAATAATTAATTGTGTATATTCACTTGTCTCCTTAATGGTTTACTAAGTTATGACGACCTTTATTGAGATTTCTCATTTGTGGCTTCTACATGTCTGTTTTCTCACTCTGTGTAGATAACCAAAAAGTCTACTCACTTAGGTGGGGCAAAGTGAACCTGATAGGCAACTGCTCTCAGTTTTACCCAGATCGCTACTATGAAAAAGAAATGCAATGTGCAGGTAAGTGCCAAGGGGTTAACCTGGGCTATGCGTTGTATTAGTCCGCTTTTGACACTGCCCGTTTCTAACTGCATCTCCTTACACTGTGCTGTGAAGTACGTATGCCAAGCAGGAGGACTATGCTAACTTAGGGATACAAACAAAAGGCTTACGAATTATTTCCTATGTTGCATCTCAATCTTCAATCCCAAGAGGGACCCCAGGGCATCCCATTATTTCCTCTGAGGAAAGGTTTTTAAAAAGTACAAGTCTTCCCATGCATCAGTGTGGGCAGCAGAAAAGAGGCATGGTGGCCCTGACAAGTGGAAGGAAATGTGATTTTCTCTCTTAGGTACCGATGATGGGTCCATCGATGCCTGCAAAGGAGACTCTGGAGGTCCCTTGGTCTGCATGGATGCCAACAATGTGACTTATGTTTGGGGCATTGTGAGTTGGGGTGAAAACTGTGGAAAACCAGAATTCCCAGGTGTTTACACCAGAGTGGCTAATTATTTTGACTGGATTAGCAATCATGTGGGAAGATCCCTTATTTCTCAACATAATGTCTGAAGCTATGACCTCCTTCTTTCTACAGTTATTAATTCAGGAGTCATGTTTCAATTAAAATAAAGCTGTGTAATTATTTCTCAGAGCTGGCAAGAAGCAAGTCTTACTGGCCAGTTCCAAAGGGTTCTTCAAAGTGTATGCCATTTTAGAATTCTGCTGTATACTTTCCAAATAAATATTCTGCTTAAGCATACGAGGTTTTTTGTTGTTGTTTTTTGTTGGTTTGTCTTTTCAGTGTTAGCACCACTCAGCTACACCTTCGACCATCAAGTTTTATTTACAGGAAGTTTGACAAGACGAACTCTGCAGGCAGGGATGAGTTTTGACTACAGAGATAGTTCGGTGACATTGGAATCACACAAGACTGTTCACGCCACAGATCTGCCGCCTCCTGTATTAGACCTTGGGTGATTTATTCTTTTCTGTTGTCTTGCTGTCCATCTGTATTTTGTGATTTCCCCCCTCCCTGGGGAGACATGAACAAGCATCTGTTTACCCCAGATAGGGCACCAACTGAAGACCAAAGAAATCATTCCACCCAAGTCTAGCTTGGTGAACCAATGAATATACTGGGGTTCCTTACAGGAACATGGGGGAGCAGTTACTGAAGGCAGCTGGAACACCAGGAGGCTCACCAAACATGGGTGACAACTCACATCCAATCTGTAGGCAATCCCATGAAAGACAGTCTCCTCTCACAGCCACTGTTCACCACTGACACTCTCTAGGAGAAGTCCTGTACCTTTCTGAGCTTCCTGCATCTGGTGAGTCTCTTCAGTCTCCTGCCCTTTATGAACTTCTCTCCTTCCTCGGGGACGAGGAAAAGCCACAGGACAGCCCACAAGAAACGGTGTGAGGACGAAATCCCGTGTTTATGTTGAAAGCCTGGTGTGGTCTCTGTCACAGGGCAATGGCACCTCCCAGCCCTTGTCCCATCCCTTGGCTTCTTTAAGAACTAAAACGTTTTCCTCCAACTTGCCTTTGCCCTTCATGTCACAAGCTCCCCTTGACCCTTTCTGGAAACCCCTCCACAGCCTCCACGCTGTCACAGCCACGTGACTGCTCTCAGGTCAGCTGCAGGAGTCTCTTCAGTTCCTTGTCCTCAGGCTCCTGGCCAGCCATGTCCTTCTGGTTGCTGCTTCTACTGTGCTCTTTCTCGGACGGTCTGCATCTTGACTCAGTGTCCAGTTCTACTCACAGTCCAAGGACTGTGCATGAGTGCATGTGTCCAGCCTTGACATGTCCCAGAAGAGCAGACTGAATGTGCCACTACGTAGCAGGCATTTCACAAGTCATGCTCTCCTCGCCCTCCCGCTTTTGCACGTGACATCGCCACCCTCTCAGGTCTCAGCGAGAGCTCCCTCTCCATCACGCTGTCCTGCTTTAATCTTGGAACAGCGTTTATCATTCTCCCAACATTGTTATTGGTTTACTACCTCTTTTCCAACTGTCCCCCCAAGTGCACTGCAAGGCAGGCGAGAGTCCTTCTCTGTCCCCCTCTTGGCTGCCGCTCTTGCTCTTCATTCGGAGATGTTCGGTAAATCGGCATTAACCGACTTTAGGATTTGTTTTAAAATCAGCGCTGTCGTTGTTGAAGCAGTGAGTGGAGGCATCGTCTCCAGCTTGGTTCTTGTCCCATCCTCCTCCAGAAACTGTCTTGGTCAGACCACGGGGAGTACCAAAAGGAGGTGCTTTATTGTCTGTTCTGGGTTAACAATGTGAAACAATTTGCCATGAACTCACAGTAGCAACCAGACGCTAACAGAGAGCTGTTACAGCTCCGGGACAATGTGTGGAAGATACCTTCGAGGCTACCTGTGTGTGGAGGTGTAAAAGTGGTAAAGGCTTCAGGCTCAGAACCCCCTTCTGCAGTGACCTGAAACCTGCAAAACAAACAAAAGCCCAGAATGGACGAGAGTCAGGTTCTCTCTGAAGAGCGATGAGACAGCTCTCTGGAGTGGCTGCATATAGGAAAAGACCAGGTATGGGGGAATGGGAGGGCCTGACTGCAGGGTTTTATCCATTTGGAGGTCTCTCTCAGGATCCTGTCACAATAATGCGATCGGCTTAATGCAAACATAGATTCAATGCCTCCATCAGATTGGCCTGCACACAGGTCAGTAGGCCATTTTCTCGATTAATCATTAATGTGGGAGGGCCAGGGGAACTGGGGGTGGGGAGCGGGTGTCAATCCTGGTGAGACTGAGACATTTAAGAACAAAAACTGAGCAAGTCAGGAGGAGCAAGCCAGTAAGCAGTGTTCCTCCATGGTCTCTGCTTTGGTTCCCACCTCCAGGCTCCTGCCCGGACTTCTTGCCCTTACTTCCCTCAGTGATGAACTGTTACCCAGAACTGTAAGAGGACGTAAGCTCTTTCACCCATAAGTTCCCTCTGATCATGATCTTTATCACAGCAACAGAAACCAAACAGGTGCTGCTGTCTCTTCATATATCCTTGCTTTTATAACAAACTTAAGTCAAAAATAAGGATGACAGGAAAACCCTCACCTCTCTCAGGAAAGAGACCCCAGGCCATCCTGAAGACAAAGAGTTAACTCAGAACAACTGCGGCTGCTTATTGGCGAGTTATGAGAACAAAGAGAGCTAAATGTAATTACTAGCCCTTGAGACACAGGCAAGGTGTGTGTGTTGGTGGTGGGGGTGGTAATAACACCAGCCAACTAACAGCCAGCAGACAGTCAATGTCAATGTTAAAGCCAGCGTCAGAGATGGACAAAGCGGGGCTTCAACCACCCACCACCTGGGTGGGCAGAACGCGGTACATGATCATCTCTCTGTTGGGACAGGGGACCATGCAGAGAGCATGTGAACCCTCCACTGGCGTGGCTCATCAGAGCTCAGAGAACCAATAAACCTCATGGCAATCTCAGCATGTGTCCAGTCTCTGCCACAGCCCTATAAAAACCTTTAGACAACGAAGTTCACTGGCTTTTTCCTCTCTTCAGAACCCTTCCTACTCTTGGGAGGGTCTCTCACTTTTCCTCCATTTCTATTTTTTTTCTGTAATTCTTGTTACGAAAGCATAGCCCACAACTGTCCATATCTTTAATCTTCACTGGCGTGAGACAATAAACTCAGAGCTACTGTTCCAGGTCAATCTGATGACCGGGTCTGGTACCCTTGGGTCATATAACTGGGGTATGAAGTTTGTCATAATTGAGATTCTTCCGTCATATGGGTCCAACTGGAAAGTAAAATATGAAGTTGGACTTTGCAGGACCAATAGTAAAAACTCAGTGGCGATCAGCCTGCCGTGTCAAAGAGGGCTCCCCCAGAGGTGAGCTTAATCTGACCAATGGAACGTGATGGGTATTGTTAGTTGCCAGAATATTGTTAACTTGCCAGAATCTAGAATAATTTAGGAGGTGAGCCTCTGCACATGTCTGTGCAGAATTACCTTCAATACATTAATTGATGTGAGAAGACCTATCTCAATAGGCATCAGGACTATTTCCCAGGCAAGGGATCCTAGGCTATGTAAAGTGGAGAAAGTGATTCACTGGTTACTCTCTGCTTTCCAGTGATGATGGGACCGGCTGCTTCAAGCTCTGGCCTCCTTGTCCTCCTCACTGTGATCAACTGGACCCTAGAACTGAGCCAGGAAAACAAACAAACCTTCTCCCTTAGGTGTTTTCCTTATATTTTATTACCATTAATATTAATTATTACTGTATGTGTGTGCACGTGTATGTACAGGTCAGAGGACATCTTGGGGGACTCTCTTCTCTCCTTCTACCATGGGGTTCTATGGATCAACAGTGTATCAAGCTCATGGAGCAAACACTGCCACCTCCTGAGCTTTCTCACTGGTCCTTGAAGTCCCTTCTGCCTGAGTGCTTTCTCATGGCAACAGGAAAGAAAGGCACGGAAGAGCTTTCCAAGGAGTAGCACATGCAAAGGCCTTGCAACTTAGGGAGCCAGCCACACACGGGTTGGAGAGCAGCTCTGTGTCCATGGCGCCCAGGGTGCCTCAGAGAAAAGAACAAGCCGGGTGTGGCCTCCGTGAGTTAAAACCACTGAAGAATTCTAGAAAGTCCAAGCAGGAGGCAGGGAGGAAGATGTATAGTGGGCGGGTGGTGGGTTGAGACGAGACATGGAAGCCAGGAGAATCTTAGACTATTTAAAGGGAAACTGAGGGAGACAGAAGCCAAGGCAAGGGTCAGAGAGACTGACCCTGATGTTAGATAAAACATGGTACCAGGGAGAGGCATTTGAGTCTACGGCAATTAGGAGATTTTCTCTTGATTATGAGGTGATTGGTGTGGCCATGGGTGACAGGTAAAATAAAGAAGTGAGGGACTGAAGCGGGTTTAACCAGTTGGGTTACTTTGAATTTGTGGTCTCACATGGGAGCTCAGTGAGACTGCACAGTGTGCAATGGAGGAGACGAGGGTCCAGGGAACCTGGCATTTGAGAACGTAATCCCTCGAGAGAGACCGCAAACTGGGTTCTCAGAGGACAGGTTATTGTTAAGGTAAAAGATAGTCCACCAAGATGTAACTGTGTAAAGAAATAGAAAAAGAGGCTTGGCGCCAAGATCCTGGCACTTGAGAGGCCTTTGGAGGAGGATGGTGTTTTTAAGGTAGGTTAAAGGCCAGCCTGGGCTACAAGCCAAGATCCTGTCCCAGAAAAATAAACAAAAAGGGGCTTTGGGTTTTAACTGAGAGCTGGTCCTACTTAGTCTTAGTGTATTCTGTGCTGTTCTGGAAGACATATTCCTGGACCAGGACATCTCTCTGGTATAAGAATGAAATGAGCCAAGCCTTGCTTTAAAATCCAGGTGATACAGTTGGTTGGGACCTCAGCGATCAGCCAGTGCAGTAACATCCAATGAGCTCTGCTCTCTCTGTGTCCTCTCCCTAATCTGTGGTTATCCTTTCACTACTACGGTATTTTAAGGAGGGGTGACTGTGAATTTCCTCTTCCTTAAAATTAGACAGAGACTAGAGGAAGTGCTCTAACTCAGCGGTTCTCAATCTGTGGGTCCGACCCTTCAGGTTGCAAGGGGTCGCACACGGGATATCCTGCACATCAGATATTTACCTTACAGTTCCTAACAGTAGTAAATCGCAGTGCTGAAGTAGCAACGAAATAATTTCATGGTTGCGGAGTCACCACAACATGGGGAACTGTATTAAAGGGTCCCGGCACTAGGAAAGTTGGGCACCACTGCTCTGATTGAGAAAGGGGTCCATCCTCAACAACCCTCAGACGGAGAAGCTACTTACAGTGCTTGGATTGCAGCGGGTCATGAGGTCCCCATGAGGACCCAAGCTCTGGAGAGTGCAGGGGGCCCGCCCTGGCAGTCACGTGCTCAAACAAGCCCCTGCACTGGACCCTTGGCCAAGCTCAGAAAAGGCCAAGACAGCAGAGCCCCGCAAGTCAGGCTGTGCCCTGGAGTCGTGCGCGATATGACAGCTGAAACAACAACAACAACAACAACAACAACTCACAGGTGCTGAACCAAAGCAACGTATCCGTCTAGTGCATGGTCGTTTTTATGACTCCACAGAGGTGGGGCGGAAAGAACCGGGAGCGTTCCCGAGACCACGTGGGAGAGGAAGTCGCCGCCTCTCCCTCCCCGGGCTCCCACGCTCCTGCGCAGGCGCACTCTGCAGGACGCGGCCCCCGCGCAGCTCGGGGACGGGGCGCGACCCCGCGGGCGCGGAGGAGGCCGGGACCCGAGCCG